CGCCAAAGACCAGATGACAAATAGAAGTTCGGGTGAGTATTTTATATACCGCGGCGGAGGGTATTCCAAATAAAGGAAGTCGCCGATTTTTCTCAGACGGGACTTCGTCTGAGAGAGACGAGTCGGCACAAAATACAGCGAAACGCGACTCCAACGTTTCTCAGGTTGGGACGTGACGGAGGAAAAGAAGTCATGCAGAGATATGTTTATGACTCAAGGTACTCTTACTCCTCCTTCGAGGAGTCGAGACACCCTGGAATTTATATGAGGCTTTAGGTTTCGGAGAAAAGGAAAGAAAGCATGCCTGAGCATAATGAGGAATCGCCCTCCAAACATCCTCCCATTCCACCGAAAGCGGAAAAGTCTCCGGTCATCGATCACGAGGAATGCTTCCTCCAACATTTTCCATCTCCCGGATGAGGAAAAACCACCTCGTTATTAATGAGATGCCAGATAGATGGATAAAGTGTTGGACTATGGAATGGATGATCCGTGCGTTTCGAGAGTTCTCTCGGGGGTCGGTGGGATGGGGAGATATCGCCAGGGCATTATGTCAAGATAATTTGTGCCGGTCGGAAGTCAATGCCATGCTGTTCAGAGTGCATTTTCTGCCCAAACTAGAAATAAAAAACAAGACGTAAAAGGAAATCGGGTTAAGGAGTGGATGAATGAAGCCACGGAGGGAAGGGAATGAGGTTCATTCATCCAGACATGTTTAGTGTGAACTCACGTTTAAACTTACCAAGTTTAACCATATAAGTGTTATGAGAAGTTGGTTCTTCTCATCCTTGACAGAAAGGGGAAAGAAACAAAGAGACGATGCCGTTCAGACACGATCCAATGCAACCTTTTCTATAGCATCACATTCACAACTGCTCCTGTTTTTCACATCGAAATCAAATTACGAGTAAATTTGATTTCTCCCACAGTACTTTAAAGGTGTTGTACGAGGGGTGTTGAAAAAGTAACGAGACTTGTCCCATTAAGCGAAAGCAAGCAGCAGTAGAAACTCACCCTTCTCGGATTCTCAAAATGAATCTCCTTCCTTTTGAATGCACACTTCCGATTGTTTCGTCCAAGTCTTAAAGAACTCTACAAAGACATCTTTAAACATTAAATTCGGAATACCCATCGGACTCTTGTCGCGTTCCTTGTCTGCCTCAAAACGCCGTCCGTGAAGGTGCTTTTGACCTCGGGAAGTCGAAGAATCAGACGGAGTCAAGTCAAGAAAGGGGGGAAGGGGAGAAACCTGAATCCCTAGTGCATCCGTGGTCTCCAAATCTGGGATGTTCGCACCGCCACAGGATCCTCCACCGGGACATGACCCTAGTGAAACATCCAACCACTTCGGGAAAAATATCGTCATTCTCATCGATCTTCTTCATCAAAGGACCTCCGATAGCACTTAGTAGGTTCCAGTTATCGTCCGACCTTAGGGAACGTTGCGATCATAAGCGATTTTTCGTTTGTCGAAGATCAGATGCATCACCTTCCCTGCGCTTCAAACAACCTTGTCCATTTGCGGGCGATGGCTACCCTCATGCTTCCAAGGACTGCTCTCGCACTTCAGTTCCGAATCAAAGCGATGGAGTTAAGTTTGTCACAGGTGATAACACGATCCAAAAACTCAGATTTCCCTTCCCGCCGAAATCGACGTTATTGATATCGGAAAGACGGCGACTCGGTCGAGCTTGTGATCGACGTCGAGAAATCCGGGAACCCAACGAGCTGCGAGCTTCCTGTGGGTCAGTTGGTCGTGGATCAATGGGGATGTCGAGTTGTCCAGCTACATCTCTCACTGGGATTCCACAGTCTTCCTTCCCTAGACTGTCCGACTCAGATATTGGAGAGTGGGGCACCATGAGTCACGGGGTACCATGGGTCAGGCTGTTTATGGCTCTCCCAGCCCTGTTTCTCTTCATGCCGTCTGCTATAAATCTTCTAGCTGAGGTGCCGGGAAAGTGTAGTTGAAAAAAGCTTAGTCCCCACGCAAAGAGCAAATTGTGTGGACGTTTTTCTGCAGAAGACACTTTTTTAGTTTTTGTGGACACTGACATCTCGATTTTTGCTATTTGTTTTTGTTTTTTTTTTTAAATAAAAAGTCTTGATTTTTAGTGGAATTGAATTCGGGAGATCGGTAGTTCAATGCCTTGCGCATATGAGTTACAGTCTAAACCTACTCTGGTTGCAATATTGATTTAATTTCAATTGCTACTGTTGGGGCACGATGGGTCACTCCATTTGGGGTACGATGGGTCATAACTCAATACGCCAAATGTTTGGATTTCTTTCAAATCTGGATTTCCTTTGAAGTCTTTTTGCGATCTAATAACGCGCAATCAGAAGCGGAAGACCCTGAAGGGTTCAACACCAGCAGATGTCATATTCTTGGACGTGAAACGAATCGTATATATATATTTCCGACTAAAGGTTCCTAATTTTTCTAGATAACTTTGATGAAGTGCATCACTAGGTTATTCAAAAGCTTCTCCTCCTGTGGTGCGTAGACCTCTTTGAGTGATGACTTTGTATGATGACTGGGTCAACTGAACTTCGTTTTAGCGATGCTTATGGGGATGACCCATCGTACCCCAGACACTGACCAACAGTGCCCCGTGCCGACCCATGGTGCTCCATTTTAAAATAAGACTTTATCGCACGACCCTTGTAGGTTGACAAATTTGAAATACGGGATTGTGCAGGTGATGTGAGTCTTTACATGCAAGGCCTTCCTTTCATTACTTCAGAGGAACAGAAATGTCTAAGTTGCAGGTTAACAAAAAAAGTGACCCATGGTGCCCCACCGTCCCCTACGATGTCATTTTCAATGACGAAGGAGATCCGGTCCTCTCCTCGTCTTCCACGTTCTCTTGACCGGAAGAAAACATTTTTTGCCAGCCTAACATCCTTGCACGGGATGGTGCAACGTTCTCAAGAGCTGTTTTAATCAAGTGTTTCCGTCTGTTTTCTGAAAGCGAACGCAAACTTAATCGACACACTTTATTCGATTCGCGAATCCACGGATGGTATGTCGTATACACATCCTTTCCCGATGCGACTACAAGAAGCACCGAGAAACTAGAACTAAACCACTTCCAAGCAATGATCTAGAGACACATTAGAACTCGTCCCGATTTGCACAACCAGCTAAGCTTATTCATAGCCGGACAAGTATCGTCACTTTTGAACACCCCTCGCACGGCGATGACATGATGCTGCGGAGAAAACTATTAACTTTTAAAAATATTCCTTCTTAGTTCGATTTCGTTAGAAAACGGCGGACTCTCGGACAAACATGCAAACATCGTGTCTCATCTCCGACCAACTGGCCTGCTTTTTCTCCGACGAGACTCACCATGTTCAACCAGACATTTGTGGTCACAATTTGGTTCTTTTCATCCTTCACGGACGGGGTGAGCGAGAGGCAAAACAAACACGAGAACTTCCGATTACACGAGGACCTTTCGAATCCACGAATCGGGACCAAAGGCTCCTCTCGGAGAGACAAAAAAGCTACTCCGAAATTTAAATGGTAATAAGATGCTATAATTTTCTATAATTAAGTTTGTCCAGGGCTCGAACGATTAGAAACTAGATGGTAGGGAAGAGAGATCTCGAAGGAGAACTCCGATCGAATACGCGAGGGTCGCAAGGAAAGTTTTCCGTCCCGACGAATAGAGACAGGCGGGATGCCGTCGTCGATCGCTCGAGCAGGAAAACTTTTTCTTTAGACGAATCTCGAGGTGGAGTTCATTCGGAGACGAGCTTGTCGCAGAAATCAATCGTAACCGATACTTTCAAATGCGCTTCCAACTTTTCGAACTTTTACGGGGGTACACGAGCGCATACAGTATCGGGGAAGAGCCTCCATGGCGCCGTGGAATTCTATTTTCGGTCGAGAATCGGAAGGGGATGAACCCGAGAGACGAGTCTCGATATCGAGGCTCCGCATCACCGGCGACTCTCGATCGAGTGCTCGTCGCGGAGACGAGAGAGAGAGAGACGATCAACAAGAATCGGACTCGGATGGGGGAAATAGCAACGGATCCTTCTGGGACGCCGAGGCGTCGGGAAGGTTCCAGCTGGGTAGAGGGCACGACGAAGCGGCAGGAGCGGATTCGCACCGACGCGATGGACCCTAGAGCCCCAATCAGACCGGTGATCCGTGGACCCTAGAGACCCGTGGATTGGCAGCGGCTTCGGCTTCGGATCCCCCGATCCCCGCTCTTGGAATCCCTCAAGTGAAACGATCTTCTTACTTCCTTAGGACAGACTCGCGCATGGAGGCTCTGTCACTTCTTCGTATCATATCATCGATATAAAAAGTTTCCTCGGAAAAATGTCTCACCGTCTAAAGTATTTGCGCAATCGACTCTGGAGTTTGCCCACCGACATTTCACGGCAAAGCTGCTCTTTCGACAAGATAACGTTCCTCATATATCTCTCGTCTTGATGTATTTTTTTTTTAGCTTTGAAGACTTCGAAATCTCTTATTTGCTTTCGACCAACGTTTTCCTCTGTTCGATTATGAACTCTTCATTCCTCAAGACCTGGCAAGAATCTGACACATTCAATTTCAACTCGAAAGATGGAAGAGAACAGCTCTTGCTCTTCTTTCAAGTTCTCATGCCCGGAATCATTTCCACAATGTTGGAAATAGTACCACAGCATGAAAAACGAGAAATGAGAAGAGTAGAGAGGATTCGCGCGATGGTTCTACGAAAAGAAAGCGGAAGATGTGGGAATCCTAATTATTTATTTACCTGCATATCGAGAAAGACCGCCGGTCGACGATGACGTCTTCACCGGATGGCTTCGTCGAGCTCGATCTTGCTTCGGGAACGGAAATTTAGCATAAAATGATGGATCCACGTCCTTGAGAGAGAGCTGTGCAAGTCCCGAATGCGATCGGTCGTTGTCGGAACGGAGTTCTCCTTCGAGGGCGGTCGACCGCCGAGATTCGCGAGCCGAAACGGGAAAGGGAAAGGGAAGAAACGTACGACGTCGATGATTTGCATGAGGGTGAGGCCGAAGGAGAGTTTAAGGGGTTCCGATTCGTTCGCGACCGGACGCTCCAACGTCATGTAATCGCGCAGCAGATGATTCAGCAGTTTTTTCTCGTTCGGCCCTTGTAGAGTCCCTGCAAAGTAGGAAAAAACGGGAAGACATGAGGACGGGGTACGCATAGATGCCTCCATCCACGCCAGCCAATCTGTAGAACGGGGCGAATGGGGAGAAAGAGACCCGAGAGGCAAGAAAGTCACGACTGACGAGAGTCTCGAGGAGAATCCAAGTGAAATGCCCCTTAATCCCTTTCTCCAGTGATTTCCATCCCCCTTCGCCCCGTAACTCGCCTGCACGTTCGCATGTCTTCACCACTATATTCTTACGTTTCCTGCCCGAAGTCCATGAAAAACCTCATTCATTCTCAACGTTACTGCAGCCGATCCGTACGTGGTTTCGAATCTCCGGAAAATTTTGTTTTGAGATCTCTGTGTCGATCCGCAGGAACGATGAAGCATGCATCGAAAAGTGCGACCCTGATAGCCGACCTCGACCGAACGTTCCATGGAGTTAACAAAAATTCCATTCGGGCGTCGGTCGATGGTCAAACGCTCTCTTGTGGCAGAATGGGAAATTGAAAAAAAATGGAAACTCGAGGGATGGGCGAAGGGAGTCTCTTCCGCGTGTGAAGGGAGCCTCCTCCATGAGTGAAAGGAGCCTCTGCCTCCCTTTTCCTCCCCCTCTATTCTCCTCGCGTTCCTTAACTTTTCTTTTCATAGCCTATCCCATAATTGCTCTTTCTATAGCCTCGTTTCGACTGGAGTATTTTCCCAGGAGAACATCGAGGAAGAAAACACTTGGTGCAGTCGAAACGCTGTACTTTTTGCCTAGGGTTGCCACTTTTGAAATTAGCAAAATATGGACATATGGTCTGTGGACGCATGGAAATATGGACAAATATATGAAGTATACTTGCATTTTTGGTTCTGCTGCAAATACCAACAGCAACCTTAAGCCAAAGTACCAATTGATGTTATGAGAGTGTGGCATACTACTCTGGCTCGAAGAAAACAGTGGTTTCAGCTGCTATTAAGTTTTATTAACTAAAAAATCGTAACAAGTTTAAAGTATGGATGAAGTAGTGTCTACATTAAGGCAAGTTTACAGTATGGACATTGCATCTGAAATATGAATTGTCCATACTAATTAGGAACGGGTGGCAACCCTATTTTTGCCCCACCTCGGGAGTATTTCGCTCCGGGCGTCGTCACCGAGCCGGAGACGCGGACCGGTCGGAACGGGTCAGGCCGCATTCCTCGGTAAGACCTGCGGCCCGTGCGTTCTTTCTTCCGCTTTCTATCTGTGAAGTGAAACACTGCGACCCGTCGGACCCAGAAAGGCGTGAGGGTACACTTTCTCCCGAATTAGATATGAAGTAGTGTGAAAACCATTTTTCTAAGACTTTTCCCTTTTCTTCAACCCCCCCCCCCCCCCCCCCC